AAGGTTGGATCTGAAAACATAGAAAAGTACAAAAAGTGATCTTCAGGTACAGAAAACAAAACTTTCGCGAAAGAGCAGAACCTCTTATTGACATGTCAAATGCAATGTCATGTTTCATCAACGCAATATCAAGCCAGGGATTGAGAAGTGCTATTTCTGAAAATGGATGCGAATGAACCTTGATAACTTGTCTCGAGAAAAACTGTCTGGCCTCAGGGAGCAGTACAAAAAAGAAATACAAAGAAAACAAGAAGAGAGAGATCGAAAGACATTGACAGACAACTTTCCAAACAGCTCACTGGGGAACTGAAACTCTTCTTCCGTGAAATGGGTCAGATCTATGACAGCTTCAGTTTCCCTTGCCAGAAAAAACAAGACCCATCAAGACAACAATTAAGCATCTGCCCAGGACTGTGTGCCCAATTGTTGCTTGATGGATTTCCCCTTGAGCTTGTAGATGGAGATGCATCAAACATACCTCTTCAGATGGGTGAGTGACGTTTCTCTTCAAGCTCAATGACTTGGTGTGCTCCTAAGAACAAGATACGGTAGTGACAGTTCTTGGAGTCCAGAGCACAGGGAAGTCTACTCTCCTCAACACCAATGTTTGGAGTGCAGTTTGCCAGTCAGCAGTGGTCGATGCACTCGAGGTGCTTTATGTGCCATCAGAATCAATGAAGATGTCAAAAAATTCTCAAACTGTGACTTCATGGTGATCATTGACAACTTGAGGGATTGAAGTCACCAGAGCTTGCGCAAACTGGAACAATAGCCATGAACATGACAATGAAGCTTGCAACACTTGTTTGTGGGCGTTGAGTGACATTCACCATTATTCAATATTGCAATGGAGAATTCAACAGAAATGAAGGACATCCTTACAAAAAATAGTGTGCATGCTATTTTCTCAGGATGAAAAAAAAGTGGGGCAAAAAGCCCAAATGTCAGTTTGTTCACCAGAATTGTGTCAGATGTTTCAGCCCATGAGAAAGAACTTACGAGACAGGAAACTGCTCTTGGAACAGTTAAATGAGATGACCAGGCAAGCAGCCAGGATGGAAAAAGAAAGAGGAGAACAAAGAGTTCTTACTGTGTGGATGGAGTACAGTCCAGACACTGGGAACTGGGTACATTTCCCTGTCTCTGAATTTGGGAAACCACCAATGACCAGTCAATGCAAGGGTACAGTGAGGCCTGTCTATGAGCCACAGGGAAAACCATTCATTTCCAAACTCTGGGGAACTTGTTTGAGTCAATCTTTGCAAATTAATATCGTTGGGAGTTTTAACAGAGTGATGAAAAAGCCTGTGGAATGCATAAAGCACGAAAAAAAGAAAACTTTATCTTTCAGCTTTCAGAAGACAGCCTACAACTAGGCAAATGCGAGGACCAAGCGTGGAGAAGTTGTGTTGAGTGTCACTGTCTTTTGTTTATACCATGTTAACCATGTGCTTCCATGCACCATTGACCTGCACTGATCTCCAAATAACCCCTCAGTGATATGAGCATCAGAGGTGTTTGCTTTTGCTGCTGTCTGCAGTTGTCGGGCACGTTTAAGAATGAACCGAAATCAGCCCTAAACTGTGGAGAACCACAGGCTTAATAAGTCACGTTTATAAAGAGCAACGAGGAGTATAGTTGTATTGTTGATTATGAAGCTAAAAGCTCAACAAAAAAGTTGCACCTGTTGTCTTGTTTTTACATTCTTTGTTGAATTCAGAAACCCAAGACTTGAGATGAAGACAAATGTTAAATAATGGAATTTTAAGATGATTATTTAAAAAAAGTATAGTAAAACAATATAAATAAATGAGGTGATGATATTTCTGTTTAATTTAGAAGTTATTATATACACTGTATGCTGTGATTCTGATCTGGGAAACATTAAAGACATTCATAGCCAGTCTGCCCATTTTGTCTCTTTATTGACTCAGTTTACAGAAGTAAGTAAGAGTAATAAAAGTAATAAGTAATGAGAGTATACATGCAAACAATACCACATATAGAATGAATTATCATCTGATTGTTATTTAAATCTTTAATTCTTAATTGAAGAGATTATAAATTCCAAGTTAAGACAATCACATATTATACTCAGATTAGAATAAAACTCATGTAGCCTACATGTTAACATTTAGACTGAATGATCATTTAGTACTTGAAATATTCTGCATCAGATAATTCATAAACAAAAACAGATTCTACATTCTGAGTAAATAATTGCATATCATACTTTTTCTTTACATTCTGTCCTATTACGGCAACACCACAGGCTGAGTGATGTGTAAAAAACAAAGGTAAATGTAAATATTTGACATCAGACACTTCAGACAAACAAAAGCAAATGAACATCATACTTAATCAGAAAAAAACATTCTGTCCTATTATGACAATACCACATGACGGGTGATCTTTAAAATAAGTACAGAGAATGTGAATATCTTATATGAGATGCTTCAGAAAAAAAAAAAAACAATAAAGATTGTTCATCTACTTGTTCATATACTCGAAGAAACTTTAACTTTTCAGTGGCAATACAATGACCTTTATCTGTCACACAAAGATCAGGAATTCAAACCCATCAAACTGGAACCATTTTGTATGTCTCTACCATGCACATTGACTCAGAGTATCAAAGAGTATTTAAAAATGTTGATGAGGTCAACATTAACATACAGTGGAAGCAGATTATTTTGATTTCACACGTTTATCACAATCTACAATCAAGTGGGTACCTCTGTACACTCAAAGCAAGTGAGGGGAAAGTTAGTGTTCTCACTTGATGTTAAATGACTCTTTGAGACTGGCTTCTGCCTGCTTGTACGTGATCTTTTTCCACGTTTCAGGAATATCAGCAGGTTTTGCATTATATATGTCAGCAATCTCATTGTTAAACTTTGCCAGTACATATTTCCAGTAGTCTGATGCCTCAAGACTTTTATCTGGAGCAATTTTCCAGTCTGGGAAAATATCTGTGTAACTCTTGTAAGGGTGCCATGCACCTTGTGTGGCATTGAATTTAAAACGCCGGTCACTGATCACTAAGGAAGTGCATATGTCAGTGACAAGTTTGCATGTCTCATCCCACATGGCCATATCCAAACCCTGTGGCCGATGTAGTGTAGTGCAGTGCTCTTTATGTTCTTTTCCTCCTGCCTCACAAGGTGCTTTACAGAACGGACACTGTTTACCACATCCAATCAATTTGGTGAAAAGCTCGTTGTGAGGCTTCACATGAAGAGCTTGTAGTTTCATTTGGATGTTTGTTTCTTTAAACTTCTCTCTAAGAGTTTGTTCCATGTCCTTCACACACTCAGTGAGCCAGTGAGCAAACTGTTCCTGGTCAGCATTGTTCAGGATCATGAAAGCACCAAGAGCATCCTGGGAAATGACCAGTTTATCACCAAGTTCCTGACAGACATTTTCAACAAATGTCTTCAAGTTGCCACTCTTCTCTGTTTTAGCTTTGTTGATAGCATTATTTATGCTCCTGATACTTGACTGGAG